TAGTACTAGTACTAGTACTAGTACTAGTAGTAGTAATAGTAATAGTAATAGTAATAGTAATAGTAAAAGTAATAGTAATAGTAATAGTAATAGTAATAGTAATAGTAATAGTAATAGTAATAGTAATAGTAATAGGAATAGGAATAGGAATAGGAATAGGAATAGGAATAGGAATAGGAATAGGAATAGGAATAGGAATAGTAATAGTAATAGTAATAGTAGCAGCAGCAGCAGCAGCAGCAGCAGTCTCATTGGTAGTGGTAGTGGTAGTCCAGCTTTTGGCATCGGCAACATTCATGATATTGGCCGATTCGCTGTAGCTTGGCAGAGGCCCTTTGTTTGAAAGACTCCACGGATGTATTCATTCTGCATTTCCATCATGGGCTGATTCGCACACGCTCTGAATTACAGCGCCTCTGCTGTTGTGTCGTTCATGTCGGACAGCCCCAACCTACTTACCAGGCAGAAACAAGGAGACAGCACGTGGTCTTTGAGCTTTGGGCGCAGGCTCCCTCACATAGAGAGTTAGCTCGAGAGGAGCCTGTCAGCCAGGCCTTGAAATCAGAACACGATCTGAGAAGCAAATTGAAGAGTGCTTCATGAAGACGCAACAAAGTCCATCACCACCAAACCAACAGAAAGACCAATCTGCTTGCCTTGACCGCTCCAGCCAGGAGGTCGGCCGTGCCCTGACCTCCTTTGCGTCGAACCGCAGCCTGAGGCGCAGCGTGGGCAGGAGGCCGGCTCTTCGGGGTGCAGCCTTCGAGAGGTGTTTTGGAAGGGCGCAGCGTGGCTGCATTCCTGGTCCTGATTGTGACATGTAGAAAGAGCTAAGACGACCAGAAGCGGTCTGTTGTTATCTTTTGTTAGCAATCGCAAGACGAGTATCAGAAGATATAATCAGGAGCGTGACGTAAACAAAGACATTTTGTCATTACCAGCAGATCAGAAGCGTTTCGTACAAAAGCATTTACGAGGAAAGCTCGGCGCTTCCGCCTGGGCAGTCGTCCATACACGCCTCGCCCTGCGAGCGTCGCGAGGCGGGGATGGGATTCTGTTTCGTCAGATTTGTAGTATCGAGCACTTACAGAATATGACCAACGCAGTGCAGTATAATGTTCCAGAACATACAACAAAACGGGTAAGCACATTGCCGAATGCATGCATAGCATCATCATTCTGCCTCTTCGCTTTCTCGTGGCCCTCAGGGCTATGGGGACAAACGTCAGCCGCTTCCTCGAGCGGTTGGGCGCAGCCGGCATTGCCCTGGAGGGTTCCTTCCTCAACATTGGCGCACCTCGGCAGTCACAAAAGAATTGATGTCCCCGTCTTAAGCAACTTGCATTGCTGCAATGGCAGCAACAAAGCAACTGCAGGAAAGAGCAAAAAAGCCCAGATCCAGAGTGACAATGCTTGCATGAACAAGAGCACGCACAGTATTACTGACGGTATCAGCAAATGGACATGAGCGAGAAAACATAAACAAAGGCATCACGATAGCAAGGGTATGAAACTCCACGAACACGAACCATTTCGACCGCAGGAAGGGGGGGTGCTTATAAATAACATTGTTGCCGTTGATTGATGTGACAGCTGTGCAAGAGCACGAATGCTGACACTTGAGCCAAGTGTGAACATGACACTTGAGAGGTTGTGCCGATTAGTTAGCGAAAAGCCAGTTAACAGCAACCACCGCGCTGGTCATGTAAGAAAGACAAGCAACTCCGAACAGAAAAAGCAGTAACCAGTGCAAGCAATATGAGCCAACACACTGGAGACTTAGGGGAGCGAGATAGCCAATCAAACAAAGAGGACGACCGGAAGTATTTCTGCAAGACAGATCGTACGCAAAGCAACTTGGTTGGGTGTAGAGCAGGTTCAACTGGATGATCAGTGGAAGCGAAGACAAGCCAGTCAGGTAGAACGACGGCCCGAAGGATGAGAATGGTTCTGATGGCAATCAATGCAAAAAGGGAACACAGAAGCTCAAGTTGAGGAAGGATGATCTTAGTGATTCTGATTGACGAAGCACAAAAGTCGTTTTGACTCCTTGCTACTCAAAGCTGTCCAAGCTCGACTAGCCTGTGATTTCCGGAAGACTAAGTGACTAAGCAGTTCTAGGCCAACGACGGGATCGGCGATGATCCTTTGGCCCACTATGCCCAGAGCTCACTGGTGAAGGCCTCCGAGAGCATCGGGCTGCGGACATGAGAAGGTTGGGACTTAGGATGGGGTGTCCCGTATTCGCATGCAGTTGTTGTTCTACAGGCAGTGTTGCTGCCTGTGGGCCCGCCGGCTTAGAACGACAAGGCTCCAGACAGCTCGTGCAAGTGATCGGAACTGACCAGGAGAGTGGTGCTGCAGTCGCCATTGAGGCGGACGAAGGGCTTTGTGCGCCTGGGATTGGCAAACGGGCCAACTCGAGGCCTACCGTTTTGCGGCATCAAAGGTGTCACTGGAGAGGCAGCAAGTTTCGCAGGTGAAGGGTATTCCGATTTCTCCTTGGCATCTGCTTGTGTCGTAGATATATTTGTGCATTTTCTGATGAGTCTTTTTTCGGCTGAGATCTTCCCGAGGTGAAGCACCGGCGGAATCTTCCGTGGGTGGCCCTTCACTGCGGCTTCGCGGTGCCATCCACGCTGAGTGCTTGGATGCAAATCTCTTAAGCTTTCGTGTGCATCCTCTTTGTTGGATAGACCACAGCCAACATGAAAGGATCGTGTTTTGGGTTCGATTGTTGGAAACTCGGTATCATATCCAGCACACGGTGCAATTTGCACAATACTACTCCCCGACTGACATGTGATCTTTTCTTAGTTTCTCGTCTCATCTCAGAACGGACTCCCCGCAGGGTCTTTGCTGGCGCCACTGCCTTGGCGGAGGCCATGCCTGCCCCCGCTCCCAAAAAGTAGTTGCTTTCCAGAAGCGATTCAGAGCATTGAGGGTGAGCGAGTCCGATTGCACAAAGAAACGAAAGCTTTGCAGAGAGTCAGGCTCAGCCAGGCTCTTGGAAGCTTCCAAGAGATTCGCGAGTTGCGAGGGTTATCAACGTGATTCGAAGGTTTATCGTCTCTAACTTTCAGCCTCAGATGGAGCGATGCAATTTGTTTGACTGGTCATTCTAGTACTGGCTGGTGAAGCTCGGCTTCTTGTCCCCTGTCCTTGAGTACGATCTTGTCAGTTTATCTCAGATGGCTGAACCTGTTAATTCGATGTTCGCCTCCTAGTGTTAGCGGTGCGTCGTAGTAGCTCATGGATACCGCAGCGAAGCTCTGTAGGTTGGTGTGCAAGAGATGGTGTATGGCATATTGATATCTGACAAGCTCGGGGGGATAAAAGTTTGCCAGAAGACTGGCGATGCACGTCCTTGTATCAATCCCCCAGCCCAGTCTGGATGTGCTCAAAGTAGACATTGACTCCTACGACGGTCTGAGCTTTGGCATTGAATTAGCAAGAGCCAGGAGAAGAAGCACATCGTACTGAAGAGTCAGTTTCGAGACTAACGTCGCATGAAGCACAGCAACCAGAGCAGGATGGTGGTGAAGTGCTTCAAGCTGTTGTGAAGCTGGAGAGCTACATGCCCCAAAATGAGCCAGCCAGCTCACTATGCGTGGTATCCCGACACGAAGGGACAGACTGAAACCCTCAAAACCCTTAACCATGCACTGCGCCCCAAGCCCTAACCTCTGTGTCATCACTAAAATCCCATTAGAGTGGCCTGTATGAATGTTTGATGGTCAGTTCAGGGTAGCAGGTCGTTCCCGACTTGCCCTACGTTTTGTGCTCCAAGCAAATGCTTATAAAAATTGGGAACATACACCCAAATGGGGTGCCGAAGGAGGGCTGAGTGTGTGTCCTTCATCAGTATCCGACTTCCACCCCCTCAGTCTAGGTTCACCCGTCGTGTTTTAGGATCGTGGACGAATGTGTCCACCGCCTGGGCTGGCGTCCGAAAGTCATACAAGTGGAGGCACCGGCTTGTCACCGGCTTGTCGCACTTTAGACTTGTGGTTTATTTTGGGATTCTGTCGCAGCTTTTGCTTCGTCGAGGGGGCTTGTAGGCCGTTGGAGTCTTTGTATTAACGGTCCCGCCATCCCTAGCACATCGACGACGCCGGTAGCGACCACGAAGACGACAACAACGTCGCGGTCGGCCTCCCCGTTCTCCTAAACACTTCTGTGACGCTGCCGCTGCTGCTGCTGCGGCTAGTGCTGCTGCTATTGCAGAAGTCAAACACCAACAGCTACCACTTGGACGACCATTCGCAGATTGAGCTGTGCCCAGTGCCAAGCTGAGGAAACTGGTTGCGTTGTCTCGGAGTAGCTGTTTGTTTGCAACCAGAACTGTTCCGCTGGGTCCGAGCAGTGGTTGATGGCTAGGATCACCGACACTTGCTTGAAAAATCATGGGAGGTGAATGCAGGCTTCCCTCCGCCTTTGCAGTACTCGCTCTTGGACTCGCCATTGCTGCGGGAGCACTTGCCCTATGTGGAGGCCAGGCGTGCCAGACACACTGCAGCAGGAAGAGCTTGATCGCCTTAAGGCAGCGCCATGTGTTGGCGAAAACCAACCTGCTAGACCGACAGGTTGGATGCCATTTTGTGTGGGTTTGGCAGTCGGCGGAATCCTGCATCCTAAACTGTTCTGCTGCCCATGTGTGCTCGGATATGTCGTTGTGTCCAGAGCATCTGTTGCCTGGGAAGTGAATCACAGCATACGCCGTATTGCTGCTTTACTTTCATGCGCAGTCGTACCCAGCATGGAAGCAAAGCTTGTCGTTATTCGTTTATTCAAGTTTGCAGCTCCATAGCTCGTGTAGTCCATTAAGCTGTTTTCCACGTATTGGAAGGTGTATGGGCCGATCTTCGGAGACAAGGCGAGCCAAGCTGTGAGCGCATTATGCCTCTTCAGGGATTTTGATGATGACGCACAATTAATGGTCTTGCTTCTGCCTCTGCTACTGCGGCTGCTACTTCCGAGCACATCTGCAAACGCACAAACACCGCTATTCCCTGCAGTCCGTTCCTTTGATGCAGGGCCGAGCCTGCAAGGTGTGTGTGTGTGTGTGTGTGAGCTGTTGGCAGTTCGCTGTAGGCTACACGGACACGTAATTGATGCTCACTGCGCTCACTGGTTGCTTTTGGCAAAGCTGTTTGCTACATCGCTACCAGAACCTTTCTCACTGCACGGGTCCTGCTGCTAACATGTCTATTCCCGACACTTTGCTTCTCCTCCTACATTTCTTCATTGCACTGCCGTGTCTCGGATGTTCAGGAGATGCGCCTGCAAGTGAATTCGCCAATTGCAGGGACTTCACTGTCATATTATGCAACTCGGCATGGAGACCATGATCCGCTGAAGTTGCTGAAGGATGGACAAACTTGTCCGTGAAGCCTTAACGGAAGCCAACTCAGCGTGTTGTGCGTGCCCAGGACCAGGGTGCAATTACTGCCCGAGGGTTACGCGTAACTTCTGGACTGGTTGCACGGCGTGAAAACGAAGAGCTTCCGAATGCAGGGGATCTCAGGGATCTCAGGTGCAGCATCTGTGGCCCGTGTACGTGCTCTGGGACATTGTGAGCCCGGCCGTGTCCCCAACGATTTCAGACGTTGTTGAACAACTGGTATGCAGAGACTTTGTCAGTGGCCTATGGAGAATATAGCCTCCTGATCCTGGTGAGCCTGGGGATAAGACAGTAGCGCCCCAAAGTAGCACAAAGGCAGATATGCGTGGAAACCCACACCTCTGTCAAAGTCTTAACAGAATCCTGCCGATAGAACCTGCAGGCAACCAGGCAACGGGGTGCCTTGCAATAGCATAGTAACAACAAGATGGCAGCATCAAGTAAGATCACGATTGCCAGGCAATAGCAGTCATGGCGCGGCAGTAAGCACTAGGGTATCACGGCAGACGATAATTGGGATAATACCAGCGCGCCGCTAAGTCCAAAAAGACATGACTCAGCGGTGATTTCAGTTATTGCAAGACAGCCACATTAGCAAACTACGTCAAGTATCCTTACAGAAGCAGGCCGTGAGGTACAGCAGCGTGCAGATGCAACAGAAGCCCAAGGCAATCTCTAGCTTGCAGATGGTGAAAGGCGAACTTCATTTGGGGTGCTTGCTTTTGTGTCTCGCCAATATGGAAGATGCGCAGTTTCCGAATTCACTCAACAACAGTCGACCTTACCAACCTGCCCGCTCGCGAGCTGGCTGCTTCTGGGCCTATTCGAACCACGTAACCTCGAACCTCACCCCGGCGATGGTCGAGGATGCCATTTTCTTGCGTGCCGACCTAGCAGAAGTCGCAGGCATCGAGGCGACGACTGTTTCGGAAAGTAGGCGCAGGGGCGTCAGGGGCATCCCCAGGCAAACTTCTGACTTTCGCTTCCCGCTCTGGCTGTGCTTCTCTGGAGTTTTGTTTGACCTGCTTAACCACGACAAACTTCCATGGGGCCTGAGTGGGGTTTATGGGTACCGACATCTGCACGAATGATCCTAAAAGCTCTGCAAGGACAGTACCATGCTGACCCTCCGGCGGACCCGCGCCCTTCCACCAGGCGCTTGACGAGTTCCACGCCTTTGCCTGGAGCTGGGCAGACATCCATAACTTCCACAGGCGAGCCGGCTTCGGGTTGGGTGTCGGGGTCGGCGGACAGAGAACAGTTGATAAAAGGGGGCCGTAGCGTGGTTGCAACCTTCAGCTTCTGTTCAGATATGACCGGTTCTGTGTTGTTCGTGGCCTTCACGAGTTTGTTGCGTTTTTTTGGTTTACTGTAAACCCTTCGGACGGAGAGCACGTGCATGCCGCCTTCCGGCTTCTGACCGTTGTGCCTGATTGACTCTTCTTCGAGGCTGCGGAGGATCTACAAAATTTCGTCGCACAGCCACGAATCTGGCTACTGCGCGGTCATGGTCATCTTCGGTCTTTTCGACCGTGCACGCATTCTGTCATTCTGGTTCCGACTCGGCCAATGTTGATGTGCTCATGATCCTTCTCTGCCTCCTCCTCCCCCTCGTCTTCCTCCTGCTCCTCACCATGATCTCCTTCGAAAAGCAAAATAATCGATATGTGTGTCATTTGCTAAGGCTTCCCTTGTTTCTACCTCGACCTGCGAGGGACTTGGTCCGGCGCTGGACCTTCGAGTTGGATGCTGAGGGAGCCCTTGGCGAGGTTGGCAGATGCATACGCTTAGACTTGGAGCTACTGTAGTACCTACTACTACCACCACGATGACGACGACGCCTACTGCTACTAGTACTCCTGCTGCAACTGCTGCTACTGCTGCTGTTGCTTTTTCCACCACTACGGCTACGATGACGACGATTACACTAACTAAGCCGCTTCAGGGTTTAGGGTTTAGGGCTTAGTTACTAAGCGCCACCACGACCACTCCGACTACTACGACCTGCTGATGCTGCTGCTGCTGCTGCTGCCGCCTTCAACTACTACCGCTACCAGTAGGCACCAGCATTCCTGCAGTCGTGGTGTGACGGCGATTGCCAATACAAATCCGCCAAGTAATAATGTACTGCTGCTGCTTCGGCAGGGGCAGCGACTGCGATTTTTTGCCTCTGTTGCTGCGTGTGTTGGGTTCCGTTCGTTGGGAATTCTATGCTTTCCTGAAAGTTCTCTGGACACGGAAAAAATTCGTCCTTTGATTCAGAAGGTTGCTGCTTCTTCTTTGCGGGAAATTGCTGCCCCTACCGCGAACTTTTTGCGAACATGTGGAGCAATAAATGCAGCTGTTCTGAGATACTCTACTACTACCCCTACTACGACGACGACGACGACTACTACTACTACTACTACCACTACTACTACCTCTACTACTACTACTACTACTACTACTACTACTATTACTGCTGCTACTGCTACTGCTACTGCTACTGCTACTGCTACTGCTACTGCTACTGCTACTGCTACTGCTACTGCTACTACT